AGCCGTCCAGATATCGCCCTCCTCTGGTTCCTCATCCCCTTCAAGGCTGCGAAACACCTGATATGCGACCAGTACAGGTGGCTGACCATCAAGATCGTCACCGCTCTCCTGCTGCTGGCCATCGTGGCTCTTTTCCTCTACAACATGCCTGGATACATGGTCAAGAAGATGTTGGGAGCTTAAAAAGAACAGCTCAGCTTTTCACTTTTTCAACTGGTGTGCCTTCAATAAGAATTCATATTGTTTTGTGAATGTTTTTCCAGTTTACCATTTCATAGAATAACTCCTTTGAAAGAGTACTATAGCAGTGCTAGTAATACATCCTGGGTGTATCTATTACTGGTTATTAATGTGTACAAATCTTATATTGCATCTGTTGTTGTGATAATTACGTAGTTTTTTTGTGTCTTGAAATGCTCTCTGTATTCCCATTCAATCCATTCAATGTTTACTGCTCACCTTTGTGGAAATAAATTACCATTTAACTGGTTATACACGTTTTATCTGTTAGAAAAAGTGAGCTTATTGAGCATAGGTGATGTGTTGGAATTCAGGTTTCCTGCTTTTGTGTCAATGTATGATATTTCAAATTTGTGATTAAATTGACCTCTGAAACCTTCCGTTTTCTGGCGTTTATGTTATATCTGTATACATGTCCTTGTTACTGTGCAGTGGTGGGGAAAAAAACTTTTACTCTCTTACTGTCCTCAAGTAAAATGTTGAGGTACTTCCATCCATATATCTTCCTCTGCTCGGGTCATGGAGGCAGCAGGTGAAGCAGGTCCTTCTTCCCAACCAGGCTTCCCAGTTCCTCCTGTTGAATCCCAAGGTGTTTCCAGGCCAGATGAGATGCATGGTAATCCAATGAGTCCTAAGTCTACGCTGGGGTCTGTTCCCAGCTGGTTGGCCCGGAAAACATCCTAAGAAAGGTGCCCCGAAGGAATCCTTGTCAGATGCCCCACCACTCCACTATTCCAAGTTTCTGCCAGATTTCTGAGCTTCTCATCCTGTCTCGGAGGCTAAGCCCAAGCACCCTACGGAGCAAACTCATTACGGCCGCAACCTCATTCTTTAGGTCCCCACCCGGAGGTCATTGACTATAGGTGAGTGTTATAATGTATATCGACTTTGAATTCAGTCTTCAAAACGACGGTCCAGTAGAAAAACTGCATTACTGCTGACTGAGCACCAAGGTGCTGACTCTTGTCCTGGCTGTTACACACAGCAGAGCCATGTCATCCTGAGGTTCTCAAACTGGACATGCTACTCATCACAGCCAACGCTTTGACCACACCTTGAGATCCTGTCCCTGAATGTGACTGTCACAAACATGACTGCCAACAAGAGGCATCCCTGGCAGGGTGCAGCACCCACAGGAAACATGTTTCACTTTGGTTGTACAAGGACCGAATGACTCGTAACGGCCATTCATTTTACAGTACCCCCAACAGGGCTCTTTTGGGAACACAGTCATAAACCTTTTCCAAATCCACAAAACACATGTAGACTCCTTGGTCAGACTCCCATGACCCCCTAGCAGCTCTACAAGGGTAAAGACCTGGTCCACTGGTCTTCTGGTCCACGGCCAAGATGGAATCTGCATTGCTTCTCTTGAATCCTCGGTTTGACAGCTGGTCTGAGCCTCCTTTCCAGCACCCTGGAATGAACTTTTCCGCAGAGGCTGGGCAGTTTGATACCCCGATAGCTGGAGCACACCCTCCAGTCCCCCACTTTAAAATTGGGAACCACCACTCCAGAGTGACCGTTCCTGGTGTTCATGCAGAATTGAGGAGGCGTGTCGGGACAGACAGCCCAACAATGTCCAGAGCCTTCAGCATCTCAGGGCGATCTTGTCTACATGCAGTGCCCTGCGCCTGCAGTTTCTTGACTACCTCTGTGGCTTCTGCCATGGACCTGGGCAAGGTTTTGCTGAGACTTTAGACTCTGCCTTCTCAGCAGAGGTTGTGTTAACCGTGTTAAGGAGTTCCTTGAAGCGTTGTGCTCCTTCCAGCGCCCAACAGTATCCTCAATACGGGGCTGTTGTTTGCCCCTTGGTTGTACATACCTTTCTGAGGTATCGAACAGTTTGTCAAAACCTCCTTGAGGCCAACCAAAAGTCCTTTTCTGTAGCCTATCCAAACTCTCTTTCACCCAAGTGTTTGCTTCTGCGACTGCCTCAGCTTTAGCCCCTTTGGCCTCCTGGAACCTGTTTGCTACTTCAGGAGACCTGCAGGACAACCAGGCCTGAAAGACCTCCTTCTTTAGCCTGATGACCTTCTTCACCTTGGTATCCGCCAATGACTTTCTAGTTTACCACCACTACAGGTACCAGTGATCTTTTGACCATAGCTCCAAACAGCTGACTCTGCAACGATTTTCCTTGTTTTGTCAAAACATTATCTGTAGCAAATAGTAACTAATAAAATCACATTAAAAATATAATTTGCATAATCATAAAGATACAGGCCAAAACTGTGAATAATGCCCACAGTCTGTCTGTGATAATCTGTAAAACTACACTATGTTTGCTATCTTTAAATCAGCAAAGAAGTGTTATTTTTGAGATATTTGCCAATATATTTTTTTTAAAAAGCATAAAAAATGCTAAATATATTTTAAATGATATTTTACATGCGTTCTCTGTTAAATTACTGAAGATATCTTGGAAAATCACAGAAAAAGAACATTTACATGTTGACTGTAAAATATAGTCATTTGTTTTTTTCCTTTCTTTTTTTTTTTTTACAGTGAAGAATCTAGTCGAAGTAAGATTACTTTATTAGACAAAAGGTCAATGCAATGTGCTTGCAGTCATTCCCAAATCACACCTAACAAACTCTCACACTCCTGAAAGTGGAAACCTCTGAAAGTTCACAGTAGAAAACGTTTTCTATGAACGTCTTGTCAGATGTCTCTTTGTGCTATTGGTCTAACACACTGTTTACGTCTCTGTGCTCCACCAGCCGTCCAGATATCGCCCTCCTCTGGTTCCTCATCCCCTTCAA